TCTGATGCATAACAAGTGATTGCAAAGACCATGGCCTGTATCAGGCGCACCTTAGTCTGCAGAGAGACACCGTTGCTCTTGAGTACTTTAGAGAGGTCCCTAACAGCAGACTTTCCATTGCAATACGCTTTTTTATTTCCTGAGTGCTGGTGCCAAGAGTGTTGACCGTGGAGCCGAGCAGACTGAAGCTGTGAACAATCTCAATCAAGTCTTCTTAGGTTTTTCTAATTCACTGTTTAACTCTCCTATGCATATCCAGCAACTGAAAAGATGATAGCTTAAGTCAGGTACACTTTAATCTTTAAAATTACATCACTGAGGACGTTGACAATAAATTTGCCAACACAAATCTTTTGATTTCTATTATTATTAGTGTGTGTACCATCAAATAAGATCTGACTGGTACAGGAGGAGATTGTCCCTCCTTCTTCAGCAGAGCATCTGGTGAATTCGAACCCCGTACCTCTGGTATTGCAGCGCAGCTTCTTGCCACTAGGCCCCCAGGGCTGGCCAATCTTTCGATTTCTTAATTGCTGCTACCATGGGTGTTCATTGTGGGTCCAAGTAAACGGAAATCCTTGACAACTTCAGTCTTTTCTCCATTCATCATGATGTTGTCTATTGGTCCAGGGGTGAGGATTTTTGTTTGTTTGATGTTGAGGTATAATCCGTATTGAAAGTTGTAGTCTCTAATCCTCTTCTGTAAGAACTTCGTGTCTCCTTCGCTTTCTGCAAGCCACTGTTATGCACTCTGATGCTGCAACTGACTCACAGCCAATTCTCCTGTGAGCTTTTAGAGGTAATAAATCTCACAGGAGGAGCTTGTTCAGTTTTATTCTAAAAAGCAGCTGGTGGATTTGAACTGATTGTCTCTTTTTTTGGCATTGTGAATAAGGAGCAGATGCAACGTGGAGGTGGCCGAGTCTGACTTCTACCTGCTTCATAAAGGGGCACTGTCCCTTTCAATAATGTCCATAATGCCAAACTAGCTGCAAGGTTAGATATGCCACTCCTCTGTGCTCCTGCATCTTTTCCTTCCAATCATTGGGTCCAGTGTTTGTTGCAAGACTCACAGACTTTACTCACAGTTGTAGAATTTATTAGGGAAATAGGTTGGAGAGTCAGGGAAGCAAAGAATAACACACAAAGCAAATCCGGGTTTAGTCAGCAGTCCCAAGCTATATTAACAGAAAATTCTTCAATTAGTGAAAGACTGTTTCTCAGTCAACCAGTGAAAAGCTAGGTTCAGTTCAGCAGTACAAATGCAAGAAGCCTCTGGTTTCCTCAATCATTCCGCAAACCTTAGAGCAGTTATAAGTCAGTTTTTCTTTCAATCATCCAGCAAACAAAACCTTTAACTGTAGCCTTTACATCCGGGGTTCCTCTGGTTACACCTTACACCTGGTTATACTGTTCACAGCAGTACCATGATCTCTTCACCGTTTCTTACGGTGTGGAAAGCATTCTCTTATATTGGCCCCACAGCTGTTGATGTTTTGCAAAAGCATGTGTCTGCAGTTAAGGTAGCTGAAGACCGCGCCCTTAATGGGGTCAACACAATGGCTAGAAAAGCCAATTTTCAAGGGTTCTGCCACTTCACAGTGATACTTCTTACCTCTAAGCCAGCAGAGTAAAGCTTCATGTTTCAATTATTAATGGATGTTGAATTATTATCAATCTATCCAATCCTCTTGGTGGGTTGTGTGTACCTCATTTGCATAACTCCACTCAGTCATTTTATGTGAGTTACAAGACCATGGTAGAAAAACAAAACAAAACAAGAAAGTGATCACACTGCAACATACCACCTCCTTACCTCTTGATACATTTTCACTTAGATACTTTAGTTTACCTGAGGTTGACATTTGTCCTAAATAGAATGACCTTCTTCCCCCTCTCCAAAGAAATCTGCATCTTAATCTCCAGAATCATGAATATGCACTCTACAATGAAAAAGGGACTTGTAGATGTAATGAGGTTAAAGAATTTGAGATTGAGAGATGATCCTGGGTCATTATTTAGTTTGCCTAATAAAGCAACAGGAGTTGTTATAAGTGAAAGAGAGAAGTAGGAGAGTAAATATCAGAGCCAGTGAGAGGTTAGAGGATGTTGATACTGCAGCATGAGTCAAGGAACACAGCTAGAACCTGGAAAAGGGCAAGTAGAGAAATTCTCCCTCAGAGCTTCCAGAAGGAAGATGCTGCTGCTGTGGTTAGGTCCATCGAGGTGAGCATGACTCATAGTGAGCCTCTGAACAGCCTGTCCTATCCTGAGCCTTCTTTATCTTCTCCGACAGGCTTAACCCCATTGTTGCAGTCACTGTGTCAATCCTTCTCATCGAGGGTTTTCTTCTCTTTTGCTGATCATTTTTCTAAGCATGAATGATGTCCCTCTCCAAGGTATAGTCTCCCCTAGCAACATGCCCAAGTGAGGTGAAGCTTTGTCGTCTTTGCCTCCAAGCAGCACTCTGGCTTCTCTTTCTCTAAGACATGTCTATTTGTTCTTTTGGCAGTCCCCAGGATATTTAGTGCTCTTCTCCAACACCACAGCTCAAAGGCATCAATTCTTCTGTCACCTTTATTCACTGTTCAACTCTCAGATGCATAGCCAGTGATTGAAAAGATCATTGCCTGAATCAGGCACACCTTAGTCTTCAAACTGACATCATTACTCCTCAGTAGTTTGGAGAGGTCTCTGACAGCAGACTAGCCTGATTCCCCAATGTAATGTCTCCTGATCTCCTAACTGCTAGGACCGAGGGTATTGACTGTGGATCCGAGTAAGATGAAATCATTGACAACTTAAATTTTTTTTTCTCCATCTCTAATGTTTTATCTTCCTAGTGTTGAGATGCAATTGTAGGGAAGGCTCTAATCCTTGATCTTCAGCACCAAGCATTTGATTTTAGCCTCTGAAACCATTTTAAAGACCAACGTGGCTTTTTCGCGACGGGTTTGTCGCCAGAGTACAGGTGTTGGTGAATACCATCGCAAAACCTAAGCCAAAATGGGAAAGGAGAAGACCCATATCAACATCGTCGTCATTGGACACGTAGATTCGGGCAAGTCCACCACGACTGGCCATCTGATCTACAAATGTGGTGGGATCGACAAGAGAACCATTGAGAAATTCGAGAAGGAAGTTGCGGAGATGGGAAAGGGCTCCTTCAAATATGCCTGGGTCTTGGATAAACTGAAAGCTGAACGTGAGCGTGGCATCACCATTGATATCTCCCTGTGGAAATTTGAGAGCAGCAAGTACTATGTGACCAGCATTGATGCCCCAGGACACAGAGACTTTATCAAAAACATGATTACAGGAACATCACGGGCTGAGTGTGCTGTCCTGATTGTTGCTGCTGGTGTTGGTGAATGTGAGGCTGGTATTTCAAAGAATGGGCAGACCCGTGAGCATGCCCTTCTGGCTTACACACTGGGTGTGACGCCACTGATTGTTGGTGTTAACAAAGTGGATTCCACCGAGCCACCTACAGCCAGAAGAGATATGAGGAAATCGTTAAGGAAGTTAGCACCTACATCAAGAAAATTGGCTACAACCCTGACACAGTAGCCTTTGTGCCAATTTCTGGTTGGAATGGTGACAACATGCTGGAGCCAAGTGCTAATATGCCTTGGTTCAAGGGATGGAAAGTCACCCGGAAAGATGGCAGTGCCAGTGGGACCACACTGCTTGAAGCTTTGGATTGCATCCTGCCACCAACTCGTCCAACTGATAAGCCCCTGCGTCTGCCTCTCCAAGATGTCTACAAGATTGGTGGTATTGGTACTGTCCCTGTGGGCAGAGTAGAGACTGGTGTTCTCAAGCCTGGCATGGTGGTCACATTTGCCCCAGTCAACATTACCACTGAAGTAAAGTCTGTTGAAATGCACCATGAAGCTTTGAGTGAAGCTCTTCCTGGTGACAATGTTGGCTTCAATGTTAAGAACGTCTCTGTGAAAGATGTTCGACGTGGCAACGTGGCTGGTGACAGCAAAAATGACCCACCCATGGAAGCAGCTGGCTTCACTGCTCAGGTGATCATCTTAAACCATCCTGGCCAAGTCAGTGCTGGTTATGCACCTGTGCTGGATTGTCACACAGCTCACATTGCTTGCAAGTTTGCTGAGCTCAAAGAGAAGATTGATCGCCGTTCTGGTAAGAAGCTGGAAGATGGCCCCAAATTCCTGAAGTCTGGTGATGCTGCCATTGTGGATATAGTTCCTGGCAAGCCCATGTGTGTGGAGAGCTTCTCTGACTACCCTCCTCTGGGTCGTTTTGCTGTCTGAGACATGAGGCTGACTGTTGCTGTGGGTGTCATCAAAGCAGTGGACAAGAAGGCTGCTGGAGCTGGCAAGGTGCCCAAGTCTGCTCAGAAAGCTCAGAAGGCTAAATGAATATTACCCATAACACCTGCCACCCCAGTCTTAATCAGTGGTGGAAGAACGGTCTCAGAACTGTTTGTCTTAATTGGCCGTTTAATAGTAAAAGACTGGTTAATGATAACAGTGCATCGTAAAACCTTCAGAAGGAGAGGAATGTTTTGTGGACCATTTGTTTTCTTTTTCGTGTGGCAGTTTTAAGTTATTAGTTTTTAAAATCAGTACTTTTTAAATGGAAGCAACTTGACCAAAAATTTGTCACAGAATTTTGAGACCCATTAAAACAAGTTTAATGAGAAAAAACAAAAACAAAACAAACAAACAAAAAGACCCATGTGGTATAAATGATGAATACACTCAGCTACTAATCAAATGGTTGGTGGTTCAAAGCACTTCAGAGACACTTTGGAAGAAAAACCTAGAGGTCTACCTCAAATAAACAGACAGACAAACAACATAAAAAAAAAACCCAGCTATTGAACGTTTCCTGGAGCATTGTCCTGCCATGACGTCACTGTGAATCAGAATTGCCTGAATGGCCACAAAACCAAAGAAACCAAAGGCCTTCTACATGGCAGTGTGATACATTTATGTGCCTGCAGATGTCAAGGAAACAAGACCTTTCCTTAATAATCAAGTGAGAAAGCAGGTCCTCTGACTCCCTGAGTGTGGACTTCTCACCTCCTAAACTGTAGGAGAGCCCATTTCTGTCTGTTAAGACCATCCACCTGTGGCATCTGTTACAGCAGCATCCGTAACTGAAACAACCAGTTTAACAGAATGTTACCAACTGGGCCTCCCCAGTGCATCTTAAAATGTTTGTCATCAATTGGATAAATCATGTATACTGCAGTTGAAACAGAAAAGGGAGAGAATAGTTTAAAAGCGATATATGATTGGATATTATGGTCATGACAGGAGTCCAGAATGAAGGTTGCATAGCGGAGTGTACTGGGGGGTGGGGTAGATTGTACACCAACGAAGGAATTTTTCTTTTACTTTTCAAAGAGAAGAGCGAACTGGGGAGAGGGGGAGGGGTGGGCAGGGAGAAAAGTGCAACAATGAATGGGAACAAAATATCTCTGTAAATGTTCATGAAAATGAAAAAAATAAAAAAAAAATTCTTTTCATCTTTCTCCACCAGCACGTTCCATGAAGACAGCGTGACATTGAGAGATTATGAACTTTGGATGCAGAAAAACACAGAGAGCAGTTGGGAAACTCGGGGCAAAGTTGCTTAATTGTTGCCTCGGTTCCTTATTTGTGAGCAGCTGTGCTGCCACCTTCCCACTGTAAGGGATCTTCGGCTTGTGCCTAACACCGGCCTTTGGTGGTTGTCTGTCCACAGGCAGGAATCCCACCGGGATCTAGGTTGTGGCTACAGCATCCTGAGAGGTGAGCTACCTCCCACCAAATCCCTCTCCCAGCCTTCTCCCCAAATCCCTGCTCCAGTTTCTCATTGGAACTACCTCTATCTCTAGCTACACTTGCTGTGGGCAGGTCAAAAGAGAGTAGACAGTCTCTCGCAGCCACATCCCACCCTATCCCTTCAGAATGAGTGAAAACTCATTTGTTTGCTATTTAAATGGGATTTGGAGGTGAGGGTTGGGTAACTGTTAGAGATTAAATTCCTCAAAACGTGTTAAAATTCTAACCCTTAATGCTGTGGATCTAAGCCTGTTTCCCTTCACTCCTTCAGTTCCTGCCACGAAGCCTGGCAGTTGGTAGGAGCCACCTATATCTTGTTCAATTAGTGAGCAGGCTCCTTCCATGCACCTGGATAGGGCACCTCCCTTCAAACCCAGGGCAGACCCTCCCTCCCTGCCCCTGCCACTCACCTGGGAGGCTGAGAAGGAGCAGGGCGGGGGACAGCCACATGGCCAGGCACCCCGCTGCTGCTGTCCCTCTGTCTACAGGTGGTGCGAGCTGGGTTATCTTGGATCTTTGAAGATCTTCTCTGAGCCCAGAGTCTGGTCCCTCTGCTTAGACAGACCCAGGCTGCCTTTGCATTTCATGCCCCTTTACTTCCTTTTATAGAATAAGCATTTCCTGCTTTTTGTTATTCAGCAAGAGGGTGTGATTTCTTGGCAGGTCTGAGTCCTCACTGGGTAGGCGAGAGGAAAAGTGAGGGGTACAAGAGGGAGGAGGAGCAGGAGATCAGGGTCTACAGAGGTTAGAGGAGGGGACATCTGACTGGGCTGTTAGACTGTGAGCACAGGAAGTACATCAACCTGGATGCCAACTCTGAAAATGGTTTTACATTATAGCGATGGGGTCCCCAGCAGGGAACCTCCACTCAGAGGGGTCACACGGGCTACGCTGTGCATACCTGGTTTTGTCTCTGCTCAGATGTTACAGACAAACACATAAAAGCACATATTGTGAGATAGGACAGGTGTGGGTACTCAACTCACCAGCATCGGAGGATAATCCTCAGTCTTCAGAGGACGAGCAGGTTAAAACAAGTTTAGGGAATTTTAAAAGCCTATGAAGTTATTGTGTATGTATCATAGTAGGTACCTGATATCAAGCATCTATAAAAACCTTTATAATACTGAACAATACAAAGAGTGAATTCTAATGTAAACTGACAGGAGCCGTCAAGAAATCAAAAGATGTGTTGCATTTAGCAAATTTGCTGTCAAGGACTCTTTAAAATGTTAAAGAGCAAGAATATAAGCTTAAAGTTAAAGTGCATCTGGCCCAAGCCAAGATCTTTGCAAGAGTTTCCTATGTATCCAAAAGTTGGACAATGAATAAGGAAGACCAAAGCCCATTCGATGCCTTTGAACTGTGGTGTGGCCAAAGAGAATGGAATCACGTGTGCCAAAAGAATAAATTGTCTCAGAGGAAGTACTACCAGGTAACCCCTTCGAGGCAAGGGTGGGGAAACTCTGTGTCACATACGTTGGGTGTGTTGTCAAGAGAGGCCACTCCTGGAACCCTTATTCACTGTTGGTGGGAGTGTAAAATGATGCAACCACTATGGAAGGCAGTATGGCGCTTTCTCAAAAACTTGCAAATAGAGATACCATTTGACCCAGCAATTCCACTACTGGGAATACACCCCAAAGAGACCAAACTGACACCCAAGCAGATACATGCACACCCGTGTTTATTGTGGCTTTGTTCACAATAGCAAGGAGTTGGAAACAACCTAGGTGCCCATCAACAAATGAATGGATAGAGAAGCTGTGGTATATTCACACAATGAAATACTATGCAGCATTGAAAAACAAGGAACTCATGAAATATTTTGCAAAATGGGTGACCCTGGAGGACATTACGCTGAGTGAAGTATCTCAGTCACAAAAGGACAAATATCACATAGTGCCACTGTTGTAAAACAGGACTGACATCGGGGTTGGGGGGAGACTGAGAAAGAGGGGATAAATTACGTATACTGCATTGAAACAGATGAGGGAGAGAACTGTTTAAAAGGGATATATGATTAGGTATTTTTGTCATGACAGGAGTCCAGAACAAAGGCTGCACAGTGGAGTGGACTTGGGGGAGGGATTGTATAACAATGAAAACATTTTTCTTTTACTTTCCAAAGAGAAGAATGAGCTGGGCAGAGAGAAAAGTGCAACAATGAATGAACGGAAATCCAATGTCTCTGTAAACTTTCATGAAAATTAATAATAAATTTAAAAAAAAAGAGGCCAGTCCCGGGAAAAGACATCATGCGGGAAAGGTAGAGGATCAGTAACAGAGGAAGGATGAGATGGACAAATCCACGAGGTGGATTAATGGAGGGACTGCAATGGGCTTGATATGAAAGCGATCGCAATGACGGTGCGTGATACGGCAAAGCTCAGAGCTGCTGCTCATACAGTCACTATTATCTGCATGCAACTAGACGGCATCTAACAACAACAATAATACGAGAACCCCAATGCAGAGTGGAGAGAGGCTAGAAGGGAACTCTATGTTACATGCAATCTTTCCATAAAACCAAGGCAGCTCTAAAGGGACTGAGAACATGATGCTAAATGGACTAACTCAGTCCCATCAGGACAAATACTGTGTAGGACCATTATCATAGAAAGAGATAACTTGTATGAGACTCCAAGGCGGGGGAGGGTGGGAGCACATTGAGGAGGATGGGAAGGAGGAATTACCATAGGGTCGCACAATTTGATGGGTGGAGGAAGGGATGGGTTTAGGAAATGGGAAAGATCTGGTGTGAAAAACAATATATATGGATTTTGTAAGTAAACCAGTATAAGAGAAAAAGGTTTTAAAAACCTTTTTAAAAATAAAAAAAAAAATTTAAAAAACCCCAAACCAAACAATTTCTTGAAAAGAAATTCACTCAAATAAAGATAAACCTTGGGCAAGAAGCTGAAAGGAAGTTGAAGGGCCGGGTTTCCTCACTGGAAAGACGGCAAATTCTAACCATAACCTGAGATCGCTTAATTAAGTTAGTAATTTAGAACTGGATGCCTAGAACTCCCCCCCCAACACACACACAGACACACTCCTTTTCAGCCTTTACTACTATTATATATAACACCTCTACAGAAAACCATTTGAAAGAAATCCACAAAATGGATCAGAGTGTATGATCAACAGTCTTGTGACAATTTTAGAAGGGAGAAGTTGGTCAGCGAGCGGAGATGCCCCCTCCCAGTCACAAGCCACCCCTCCCACGCTTCCCACGAGCAGCCACCAGCCTGCTTTGTACAATCATTGCTTGCTTTCTTTCCTCTTTCCTGTCCTCCCTCACCCAAGTGTGTTTTTCCAAACATGATGGTTTAATTGTGAGCGTTTATCAAGTATTTTAATTTCTGCACTGGCAAGAACACAGGTACGCAAGAAAGTCACTTTTCCGACGTGAACACGACGGTTCGTTTTTCCTTTAGAAAAAGTCTCATGAATCTCTCTTAATCTACAGGATCTCTCTATCCCCTTTTATTTCCCTTGAAGAGAGAATTTACTTCTTGAAGAAACTCACCATAGTGGTTTTCCTTAGACTGAATTTCGCTGCTTGCATTTGTTTCCATAGCGCTGGTGAGCATCTCTCTGTTCTGCATTTCTGTGTACTTGAACTTGAATTTTGAGACTTAGAGTCAGGCTTGCTTTGTTTGGGTATGTGTTGCCAGAGCACTTCCTCAAGAAGCATATGCTGCCTGTGGGCTTTGTGATGTTGGTAACCAGGGGCACTGGCTGCGTCCTTGACGCTTTGCTGTGAGCTGCTGTCTGAGTCAGCACTGGCTCACGGCGGCCTGTGCACAGAGGAACTGGATGATTGGGACACAGGGGGGCTTCCAAAGTAGATAACCAGGCATTTCTTCCTAAACCATCTTAGTCTGGAAGCACTGCTGAAGCCTGGTCACTGCAACATATAAGCAAGCCCCACTGACAGTGGACAGAGGCTGTGTATGAGGCATTTGGACCTGTTCTCTTAACATGGAAAGGGAGCATTCTCTGCGGAGCCAGCACTGTTTCCTCCCTGACACACCCGCCCATTGCTGTCAAGTCAACTCCACTCATGGGGACTCTCTACTGAGTTTCGGAGGCTGTGAAATGTATATATTTTTTAACTTTTTATTGTGATTTGAATGAAAGTTTACAGAACAACTGCTGGTGAATTGGAACAGCCAGTGAGGCACACACAGCCTTGGGCTAGCAATTCTCCAAGGACTGCACCACCAGAGCTCCTGAAATTCAGAACCACAGCGTGTATACTTTCCAAGTTCTCAAGGAGAGAGGCCGCTAGGATATATTATACTGTGCCTTGATCTGTCTGCTTCACCTCATGCTGTGCGCAGACCTTTTTCACAGTTCCTGCTGCTGTTGTTACGTTGTTAAGCTGATATCTTCTCAAAACAGCTCCACGTGCAACACTGCTTGGACTGCGTCACCCACAGCTGTTGATATGTAGGCCTGTTGCTATAGTTACTGTGTCAGTCTACCTCATTCAGAGTCTTCCTCTTTTTTATTTTTTTTTCTGGCCTCCGGCTTTGCCACACATGGTTTCCTTCTGCAAGGACTGGTCCTTCCTGGTAACGTGTTCAAAGTGCGCGAGGCTCCGTCTCACCCTCCTGAGTTCTAAAAGTCATCCTGGGTGTACTTCTCAGACAGCACTTTTCTACCTATTCCTATTCTTCATCAACTCCATGGTTCAAAGGTATCCGTTTTTCTTTCAGTCTTCTTTATCCAACTCTCCCAGGACACAATGCAATAGAAAAGACCACAGCTAGAGTCAGGTGCTTCCCAGTCTTCAAAGTGGCACCTCTGTTTTTAATGTTAGAGAGATTGTCAGCGGTAGATTTGCCTGTTGCGATATCTTGTTTGATTTCCTGACTGCTACTTCCATAGGTATTAATTGTGAATTCAAGTGAAAGGCCTTCCTGGCAGCCTCAATCCCTTCTCCGGATGTTGGTTATTGGTCCAGCTGTAGTAACTTTTATTGTCTTTGTGTGAGGTATAATCCATACTGAAGGTGATAGTTTTTTATCTTCAACAGCAAGTATTTAAAGTCTCCGTTATTTTCAGCAAGCACATTACAGGTTGTGGATGAATTGCTCCCCCACCACTCTGATGCCGCATCCTTCTTCACACACTCTAGCTTCTCGGATTATTTGTTCAGCAAACATATCGAATGGAAGCAAGAGTGGCATCCGCTTCCTAAACAACGTGCCTCCGGAACCCTATGAACTTTGATAAATGTTGATAGTTGTATAGGGGCTTCAGGCCTTTTGTTCATAGGGTCCCTATGAATCGTGCTTGACTCGAAGGCAATCAACAACAATATACATATTGAATAGGTATGGTGAACAAATACAACTGTGACGTGTCCTTTTCCTGATATTACACCATGTCCCTTGTTATATTTGAATAATAATATCTTTTTTTAAATAATAATCTCT